TTGCCCAGAGTTCTTTTTCAGTCATTTCAAGGGTTTCCTGCTCTGTAGGGTCTGGTATTTGAGAATTACTGTACTCTTTTGGTGGTGTCATTTTTTCTTGGGTTTTCTTATTTCTAGTATTTCTATGTTGTTGTCTCATCATCTGATAGAGCAGTTGCTTCTTCTATGGTAGCTATGGCTAATGCTGTGGTGTCTGCCACTTTAGCAGAAGCCGTGGCTGTGGCAGTGGCTGTGGTGGGTGACCAATGTGGAAGTGGTGTTTTCCATGTGCTCCTGAGGATGCTGCCCTCAGCTTCTGCTTTAGGACCCTGGGTGTGCTCTCTTATCTGCATCCAGGCAGAAGGGACTGCCCTTGGCTCCTATAATAATATTTTGACATTCACTCCATTAGCAGTATGCAGGTTGCATTGGATGAGATGGAAAGATCAAACACAAGACACAAGGGAGCCAGTTTAGAAAGCCATTTGAGTGATTCCATCATGAGACAATGGGCTCTGACAAACTAGCAGCCATGGGAATGGCAGTGCATTGAACTTGATGCCCAAATGGTTTGAGGGGTTAGGGAGGCCTTCCTACCAACTTTTGAGCCTGTCTTATGTGCCAGCTACTTTGTTTATATTTTGTACTTAATATCCTCAATAAAGTAGACATTCTTATCATTTTATTTTACAGTAGAATAAACAGATCCTCTGAGAGGTTAAATGGATCACTGAAGTCTTCCCTGCTAGCAAGTGAGGAAGGCCAGGGCTGTCTGATTGTAGACTGTGCATTTTCCCATCATATCACATACTTCTCTGTCAGTCTGTCAGGTAATAAGCCATAGCACACATTTCATCTTGGAAGCATAAGTTTATGAGAGAAGGGGATGGAACTGCTATGTCAAAAGAAAGTGAGAGGAGAACAAGCTGATTTGCAATGGTGAAGAGCAAGAATTTCTAAGAAGGTACAAAAGTTTATCAGCTTACAGAGTAAGAATCGACAGCTAACTTATCAAATCTTACTATGTGCTGGCATTGTGCTTTAGGGAACATATACATTAGCCTTCATGAGAACTCTATAGGGAAGCTATCATAATCTTCATTTTACAGATGAGAAAGCTGGATTATAGAGAATCTGAATGAACTGCTTGAAGTCAAACAGCTACTTAATGGTGTAGCTGGATCTTTAAGCCAGGATGGTCTGACTTCAAAGCCCATGATCTTCATCACCAAGCATCACACCTTCTTATTAAAAAATGCTGCTTAATCAATGGAGGATGTTTTGTTGTTAATTTATTTAAACCAATTGCTAATTCACATACTCACTTTTTGAATTTAATAACTTACTAACTTCCTTTGATAACTTACTTTTTATTAATCCATGTCTGGCTAGTTATTTTGTGAAATGGGCCCTTTCAGATTGCCAAAATTTCTTCCTGTAGAATCTAAATTTATATTTAAGTTGTTTATAATCAGTCAGATTGTGACCTGCTATATTAGTTTCCTAGGACTGCTATAACAAAGTACCACAACCTAGGTGGCTTTAAATAACAGAAATTAATTTTCTCTCTGTTCTGAAATCAAGAAGTTAGCAGGGCCATCATACCTCTGAAATGTGTAGGGGAATTCTTACTTGCCCCTTTCTAGCTTCTGGGGATTTGTTAGCAAAACTTGGTGTTTCTTGGCTGTATGTGCATCACTTCAATCCTGTCTTCACGTAGCTGTCTTATAATGATACCAGTTATATTGGATTAGGAGCCAACCCTATTCCAGTATGATCTCATCTTAGCTAATTATATCTGTACCAATCCTATTTCCAAATAAGATCACACTATGAGATACTAGTGAGTAGGACTTCAACATATCTTTTTTGGGGGGACACATAATTAAATCCATAATAATTGTGTACATAAAATCAAACTTTGTGGCCCAAACCACTTTGTGTTTGTTGTGATGTCTATAAAAAAAGTAGAGAAAGGTTTGCTGAAAGCTAGGCATATTTCATATACAGCATTCTCTTCAAGTATTTAATCTACCTGAAAATATTAGATTTGGATAGAAAGCAAATTATTCGTAATGGGTCAGAATCGAACACTCTTATGTCCTTTCTATGTATGGAATTTCAACTTATATCATCGGGCAGACTTCTGTGGGAAGCAAATAACTTTACTGATATTGCTTATTTTTTTTTTTTTTTTATTTCCAGTGAGTTGCAGTTTCCTTTTCTCACTTAGATAAGTTCTCCTAGAACACAGAGTCAAAGCTGGTAGGGTAGACTTGGGAAATTTATTCCTCCTAATGTGCTTTATTCTAATTATAGTTTTTATTACCTATATTGTAAATGAGATAAACTAAAAACACATTGCCAGACTAATTTTTCTTTTAGCTTTTGTAGTTTACTCTCCTTCCATATGCATTAGTTGTAAGAATTTCTTAGTTGTAGATATCAAAGAATTTTATTATTTTATTTGCCTCAAGGAACATGAGAGCCAAGGTTTTATGGTTATTAAATTGGTCTGAGGGCAGGCATCCCTGAAGTCAGATGCTATGATTCACGATCTGTATTTAGATATCATTAGATCACATACAAATTATGTGATTGCTCGTACATCTTTAACATGGAAGGAAAAATCCTTAATTGCCAGATGTAATTATTATCTATTTCCAGCTTTCAGCCTTACTGACCTTTTTGTACATTTTACCACTTCTTTCTTCCTCAAAATGTTTTCTTCTAATATTTACCACACAACTCTCTTATGCTTTATACACGAAAGCTCCTTCTTAGCCTCCTCTGCTAACTTCTTTTCTGCTATCTACCTCCAGGCACTTGTATTTATTTGAAGACGTTATCTGTTTTGCCCTTGATATATTGTATGCACCGCAAAAGTGTTACGTATCTATATACCAGTGTTGCCCAAATTTACTTCCCTAGCTCTGACATCACTAAGACTTTGGCCTCAGTGACTTCCTGGACATCTTCTAGGTGTTTATAGGCCTTTTTGAATATAAAATGCAACAAATTCATTATCTTTTCCACAAAAGTGTTTAGATAGTGAAGGGGACCTCACCCCCTTTCTCAATTTCTTCTTCCATATAGTTTTGCAATTTCTCCCATGAAACACAGAGTGTACTTCCTCATCCTTGGATTCTGGGCTTGGGAATTAGGATTACTTTCTTCAGCTAATGGGATGTTAAAAGCAAAGGTTTTTGCAGTATCTAGGGACTGAAATGTGCTTGTGTGATTGGACCTGTTCTCCTGTACCTTTGCTATTTATTGCCATGAAAATACCAGCTTGCTGGTCCAAGGAGGCTGTAAAATTCATTCAGTCCACAGACCTATGTTTGAAGTGGAGCTACCCGTGTGAGCCCAACCAAACTCAATAGGTCCACTGACATATGAGGGAGCCCAGCTGACAAAAGCAGAGGTACTACAGTCAATTAAACTCTTGTTTTGGTATGCTATTGACTTTTGTGGTTATTATACAGCAAAAGTTATCTGATGAAAAAAATGGCACTTGAAGTAGAGTGCTGGTAAAGTAAAAAACTAAAATATGTGGCATTAATTTTAGGACTGAGTGGTGAGTAATAAGGAAGCTAAAATAGGAGGCTTAGAAAATGGTAGTGTGTATGACGTAGTCGTGAAATATTTGTGAAAACTTCCATGTGGTTGTCTGGAAGGTTGACATAGAATTTAATTAATTTGTGGACTTGGGCAAGGCGGGTTACAGGCAGACTGCAGAGAGAGCAATCTAATTCCTTTTAGTTTGATTGAATAAGGTAATAAAAAAGAAACATGAAACAGAAGAGAATTATCCCATTAGTAAACAAAATGAAGAAATAATAGAGAACATCCAAAATATGCTGGGTTTGCAGGTATCCCTTTGACATGACGATTTCCATTCCTATGTTCATTGCAGCTCTATTTACAATAGCCAAAATATGGAACCAACAATATAATTTGTTGAAATTTCAGAAGGACAGAACAAACTTAAGGATACTAGAGATGATGGGAGGGAGGAAGGAGGTTTGGAGAGTGATAGGTCAGGTAAAGGGCATAAAGAAAAATCATAATTTGTAATAATGAATTTGCTGATAATAAATAGTAAAAAATTTTAAAAAATGTACTGGGTTGTAAAATTCTTTGAAAAATTCTTCAGCCTCTCTAATCTTGCCAGAAAATAAAATAATATCAAATTAAGATACAATCTTGGGGCAAAGATTAAATCAAGGGTCTTTGAGATGTAGCTTAGGCATATAGATCAAATCAAGGAAGTGGTTTTCTGTGCTTTGTTAAGATGTTTGAAAGAATTAAGGTAGAGCCTTAGGGTTCAAAAGGGCTTCTAGGCAGCATGGTCCTACAGAATCCTGGTTGACCAATAGTACTTAAAGCACCAAAAAAATTCTGGCTTCCATAGGTAGAGTTGATAGGAATAGAGTATGTAATAACACTCACAAATTTGTGACTTTTGTAAATGTAGTTTATTGAAATCAAGCACACAAAACCCTCAGGGAGTTTTGGAGACCTGGCTAGAGCACCACTGGCCAGGAGTATAAGGGACCGAAGTTATTTAATATCTAAAATAACTTCAGGGTCTCAGTTTTGCAGGCAATAAATTAGGATAAGAAAGCTGCTTAGCTGCCACAGGGACATATTCTCAAACACCCTCTTTAAGATTGGACAAAGATGATGCAAAAAGTGAGTTATTCCCCAGGGTATTCAGATAAAAACCATGGGGAGTTCTAGACTGAGAATTACTCCCAGGAATTAGAACAGGGACCTAATCAAGGAAGATTTCTTACCTCCAGAGGAGGGAGACATAGCCAGGCTTGTGGCAGGAATTCTGAGTTGCTGTCGAAGAGTGACTTTTATGTTCTTCCCTTTCTTGCCCTTTTCAAATGGGCATGTTTATTGGGAATTATCACATCTCAGTTCCATAAATTGTATGACATATGTGTGAGGTCAAAAAATTTACCTGTTTGTTTATCTTTCTCTCTTGCTCTTTTAAATTCATACGTCTCTAGATTGAGAGGATACATGTCCATGCTTGATAAAAATCTCAAGATCCCAGACTTTGAGCCTGATCTATGCTTAAGTAAGACTTTTAGAGATTTTTGGGTAGGGGGTGGTGAGTATATTTTGCATGTGGGAGAAAAATGTGCTATTATAGCCAGAAGATTATTTCTTACCTTCTACTTTATGGAAGAAACACAGAAGTTCGTGGGCTTCTTTAAGCTCTGAATGCAGTCTATTCCATTTTTGACAATATCGTTCCAACCAATTTACCCAGTGACATGGGAGGCTGAAATCTTTCAGTAGGGCTTTGAAGCAGGTCCAATATATGATACAAGTAGCGCTGTCACTTGGGGCATAGACTTAGTCAACTCTTCTGTGTTTGCGGTGGAAAAGATGCCATAGGAAAATTACAATATATATCCTTTTTTCCAGATGAAGAACCCATGCCATCTGAAGCACCATTCAAAAAGCATTTCTCATAGTTCTCCTAAGCTGTGATAATAATGGAGCATCTAACCATGAGACATTATGTGTCTATGTAGCCAGAGATGCCCATCATGAGTGCACTCTGTAAGACCAATCAAGTGAAAGTTTAGGCAGGCTCAGTAACATCCATTGCAATATGGGAGTGACATATCTTAGAGAGGTATAAGCAGTGTAAAAGGCACAAGCAAGTTGTATTAACAGGTGACCCAGACACCACCTGTGATCATCCACCACATTTATGTTACTGCCTATTCTCATCTTATACCTATGCCCAAGTGGAGTGGATTCTCTTACAATGATCTGAAAGAGAAGGAAAAAGCCAGGGATGGTTCATGGATTGGTCAGTTTGGCATATAGGTGCCAGCTGAAAATGAACTGCTAATGCACGGCAAGCACACTCAGAGGTGGCCCCAACATTGCTGAAGGAAAATCTGCACCTGGGGACGTTCTCCTTATTATGCACCCGGTCATCAACATAGTACGGAAAGAGAAATGGTCTAAGGCAAGAATGCCAGTGAATTCACAGGCAGTAGTGAATTGCCAGGCACATTAGTTGGGGTTCTGGTGCATAAAGTTTGAAAGATCACGTGGATGAATACATGAGAGTGGGCATAAAATGTGAAGGTTTTTGTATCACTTATTCACACCTTCCAGAATAGATCCATCATTAGAGAAGCACTAAACAACCAAGTAGAGACAATTACACAGCCAATTGACATCAGTCAACTCTACCATTGGCCAGTCATTGAGGGTGAATTAGGCAAATGAATGTGGTAGTTATGGTGACAAGGATGAGGTCTATACCCAGTAATAGAGATCAAGGGTGAACCCTTGATAGGGCAACATGCCTTGAGAAGGCCAATTTGGTGGTAATTGATTCTCTTAACAGCTTCCATCTTTCTAATTCCTCTTGATTGAGATTGACACATATTCTAAGGACGCATATCACTTTGCTGCCCATAGTGCCTCTGCTAGCACCACGTTTGAGGAGTTACAGAGAATTTAATCTCCTGACACTGAATACTGCACATCACATCAGAGTAAAAGACTGACTTCACAACAGGTAAGTACAGCAATGAGCAGAAGACCAGTGGGTCCATTGGTCTATCACATACCACACCACCCGCGAACTGCCAACCTGATAAAACAGTGAAGTGGTCTTTAAACACGCTGCTGAGGCACCAGTTTGTGATGATACCCTAAGAGGAAACAGTTTCATCCTTCAGGATGAATTATGTATTCTAAATAAATGAACAGTGTTAGTCTACCAGAGTCCAAAACCAAAGAATAGAAGTAGCGTATCAATATTTTTTAAAAGAACTCCTTATATTAGTCCATTCCTGTTGCTTATAACGAAATACTTGGAACTGGATAATTTATAAAGAAAATGAAATTTGTTGCTTACAGTTTCTGAGGCTGGGAAGTCCAAAGTCCATCTGGTGGTGGCAACAGTGACCCAGGGGTCTCACATTGAAAGATGGTGGAAGCAGAGAGAGCGAGACAGACTCTCCTCCTCTTTTAAAGCCCTCAGAACCACACCCCTGACCACCATTTTTAATCCATTCACTACTGCATGGTCCTACAATCCAATCACCTCTTCGAGACTCCACCTTTCAATTACCATAATAGGATTTCCCACCCTGTTAACAGTCATAGTGGGGGCTAAGTTTCTAATATGCAAAAAGTGGGGGATACAATTCAAGCTTCAATGAGTTTTGGGGGGACATAATTCAATCCACTACACACCTACAAATTAGTAATAAATCAGAAAACCCTCTGAAAAAGAGAGTGGTTTTATTTCTAAAATTTAGAGAAGTTTTATTTTTTATAGAGGGTTAGGCTGAATTGAAAATGGCTTCCACAGACCTCTGTCTACTGGTCCTCATGACTTTGTGTTACACCTGCCTCTTGTGTACAGACTGGATCTAGTGACTTCCCTCATAAACGGAACATGGAAAACATTACAGGATGCTACTTCCAAGATAAATGAAAGAAGATAGTGACTTGTTCCTATCTCGACTCTCTTCTCCTGTGCTTGCTCACTCGGAAGGAAGCCTGCTGCCATATTGTGAGCTGCAGCGTGGAGACGCCCACGTGGCAAGGGACCAAAGGAGAACTTCAATTAAAAATTCGTAGGAACTGAATCCTGGATATCATCTTACTTCAGATGTTTCTACCACTTTGGAAAAATTCTATTTATTTTGTTCCATCCACACTACATTAACTATCAGTTGTGTTCATCACATTTTAACTATATTTAACATATGTTCAGAAGATTAAAAAACTATTATAATAAACACCACTTAAACTTAGTTCTGCTTACAGACGGTGAAGTAAACAATAAATTTCTCTTCCTTAACCAGAATTTATTGATTAGGCATACCTTTGTTAAACTTGAAAATTTTATTTTTTGAATATTAACTGAGTGTGATAGAATAAAAGTGATGTGAATTCAAGAATTGGAAACCTGTAGTAATGATCTAAACTTGAAGGAATTCTTTCTGCTCTTTAAATATCAAACTAAAAATGTGGTCCTTCATTTCTCTTGTGTGCTGGGAAACAGGTGGGAGAAGAACTCCCTCCAAACCTCTCTTGTCATCTTGATGCTCCAGGGTAGCATTGCAGTCCCCAAGCCTCTAGCTTCATAACTGTCAGATCTGATATTTCTCTGAATACTTCAGAGATGTGCAGCAAAGGGAGCAAAGGGATGCTCAGTTCCATCTCTCAGTCTATGAGATTGCCTGGGAAGTCTTGTATTGACCTTTGAGAAAATCCCTGCATCTTGCAAGCAGAACTTCTGTGCTACCACCTATTGGAAAGAATGCTCCTTCACTCTTTAGCCCCACAAAAAGTTTGTCTCTATAGATTTATTACTCCCTGCTTTCCTGATTGGTCCTAGACACAAGACATAATCTTAAAATTCTATTTCAACCTAAGTGAGAATTTTTGCCATGGAATCAGGACTACAATAGCAAATATTATAAACTGAGCAAAGTGAAAATCTTATAAGATGGGATACATAGGAGGTTTATATGTGAGTACTATTTCTATGCTAATAAAACCGAATTCATATTTGTTAAATGAATGAATTTTTCCCTTTATTTCTTTTCTGAAGTGTGGAAAATTTAGCCTGCATAGTTTATTATCCAAAACTCTGAATTATTCACAGTTACTAAGTTGAAGATTTTGAAATTGAGACCAGGCGGTTGAGTCCGAGGTCTTACATTTGAGTCTGGATTTTCCCAGAGTGGCAGTCTGTCAAGAAAATCTTTATGCAACACATAGTCCACAATTCTTCTGCCAAGAATTGAAGGGAGTGAGGCTCTTGAGGCTCTCTGCAGTAGCTAATCTTATGTTCTGTGTTGATGAGCAGACAATGGTGAAGTTGTCAATACATAGTGTTCATGTTGTTGTTATTGAAATGAAGTATTATTACCTTTTAGAGATTTTTTCTGATTTCATTTTGTTCTAAACATAAATATCAGGGATTTTTTTTTTTCCTTTTTAAAAACAGATTAGGATATCAGAGCAATGTGGAATTACTGTTTTGGCAAGCAAGATTTTCTGATTTGTGAATTTTTCCAAGTTAATAAGATTCATTTATCCTTTACTGTACTAAGGTTATATTGAAGAAAATTTTGTCTCTATAATCTGCTTCGTACATGTGCTGTCAAACTTCCACAAATCCTTAACATTTCTATTCATGTTTTGGGACAATTGTTTTTCTTCTTGAACCTCTATAGAATTTTTACTCATTTTGGCTCTACTTCCAAGAAAAACAATTTTTGATCAAAGTATTTATTCTGGAATACTAGATTTCTTAAAGCTAAAGTAGATAATGGACATGCTGTGGATTTAGGGCTTTGCACTGTAGCTCAGAAGCAATAATGGTGCCACATGAATTCCCAAGCAGAGCTGACATACATATGCTCAGCATGCCTGTGTTCTTGGCCTATGGATAAAGCCCCAAATAGTCTAACAATCATAATGTTTGATTTGATACCACAAAAGCCAGAATTTGACCTAGCCCACTCGGACAAATATCATGAAATTACAATTTCACAAGTAGGCAAAGTGCATAGCTACCATAGGGTCCTAAAGTATCTAGGAATAGAAAAAAAATGAATTTTGATTATGTATTATTAAAGAAGTGTCACTTTAATGACCCATAGCAAATGTTTATCTTCTAAATTCATTTCACAGCTAAAAGGAAAAAAATTCAAAAATTTTCCATTTCTATGTACTATATTAGATTTTTAAACATTTTATGCAGAATCCCAACCAAGCTCTTAAAACAATCACTTTTCTACAGAAGCCTTGTGCTCTGAACATATTTACTTGTGCTTTTGCATTTTGTCACCATTGTTATGCCTTCTGATATTTCTTTTTTTAAAAAATTTTATTTTGTCGATATACAATGTGGTTGATTATTGTGGCCCATCACCGAAACCTCCC